GCAAAAATTCTACTGGCATTCAAGTTGTGAGCCAGTAATTTGACTCCGGCATCGATTAGTTTGCTCTGGAGCCCTCCTTCCTGAGCTAAGACGAACATCGCTTCACCTCGAGCCCTGCAATAAGGCACTCCGGGGCTAAAATAGCAGGTTGCTGGAGTGGAGCAGCTGAAAGAGAGACCCTCGCTGGAGGGAAGAGTGTCTGTATTGCGGGGCTTTCCCTTTTGAAATCAAGCCGTGGCGAGGCTTCACTCACCCTTCACTCGGCTGCCGCCAAGCCTGCTTCCCTCATGTGGCGCTTCTCCCCACCTGGCCACACGCCAGGCCCTGGAGGCCTGGCTTCACACTGCGGTGGTGGGGAGGGACATTTTCGGAGGGATCCCTCGCTCACAGTTTTAATGCCAGGAGCTCACAAAGTAGGATTTTTGCTCATAAGACTCCACAGCTTAGAGGGAGCATTGGTCAGGAGCCTGTCTCAGGATTTAGGTGGGGAGACTCTCTTGCCAGGTGCCCTCCCCTTCAAGTTAAAGCCATCTACATCCCCAAAAGGGCATTGTACTGGAAACTGAGGCAACATGGAAGTGCATTTGACTTCAGCCAATGAGTCAATGCAAGGAGAGGCGTGAGCGGCGGTGGCGAAGGCCCTCCCTCGGGGAAGCTCTTTTGCTGAACCCAGCGCATGGGGTGGGGGGCGCCGGAAGGGATCCTCGCCTACGGTGCAAAATAAGCTGAGGCCGGCCCTGAATTTGATGTATTTGGAATAAGCAACAAGAAAATAGCAACTGTATAGTAGATGGGTGACTACTTTTTAAAGAAAATTCCAGATGATTATTAAATGAATTTCAGTACTCATCTGCCTTAGAAAAACATGCCTAAAGTACACAGAGTGTCCTTGGAACTGAATGTGGCTGTGTAAAAGTAGTTTAATGGTGCTTCTGTATAATGGAATTAAATGCCTTGATATTATTTAGCAGAGCATTTAGCAGTTGATTCAAATTTTCAGAACATGTATTTAAGTAATGGGGATATAATCAGAAATTGCTCCCCCATATAGTTCATGGCTTTAGATGCAAACTGAAGTAAGAAGAAATTCTCACAAAGAATGAGCAATATAGTAGAGAACCGTGAGGTCCAGTCAGGTGACAGCAGCTGGAGCCAGCAGAGTATCCTGGAAGGGCTCCAGCAAAGACCACCCCAAAGAAGGTGCCCCAAGGAAAGTGCTTTCTGGGGAAATGACAGGCACAGGTTCAGGGGTGTATAGAATGGATCCTGTGCAAGCTAGAGACATCAAAGTAGCAGGGGACCTCCCCCAGATGCTCCTGTACATGCCCGCCAAGTTCCGCCACCCCTGTTGCTTTGAAGTTTGGTAAACATTTAGATTGCACAGAGACAGCCTGTCTGAAAATGTATCCGTTTATAGACGGCCTCGAACCGCCACAGATAGCTTGAAAGTTCATGGAAAGTTCATGCCAATCAACCTGCCACAAACTTCACTTTGTGAACCACAAACCGGCCAAAATTCATCATGACCGTTCGTTCAGAGTTCAAGTCCAAATCAGAAGGCAGAGCGGTATTCCAGGGTGAACAGGCTGATTCAGAGTTTTGGGGCTCTTCCTGCACATCAGAGGTGGCTCACGCCTCCTGTGGCAGTGTTAGGTGCCTTGTTGCCTCCTCCTCTGAGTCTTTGGTGTCTCTGGCTGATGAGGAAGGGTCCATACTCTGGTCCATGATGAGAACAAGCTCTCACCACTCAGACTGTAGACAGTGCTTTTTTAAACTGCCCAACTAATTTCCTCATCTGGAGTTAGAGCACCATGTGCTAGAGCAGGGGTGTCAAACATGCGGTCCAGGGGCCAGATCAGGCCCCCGGAGGGCTTTTATCAGGCCCGCAGTGGAACTGGCTGTCTTCTGCTTTTTATTCTAGTACTGCTGCTACTGCGTCATCGTAGGTTTGCAGCTTACAGATACATACCTGAACAGCATACTCAAGATTGCAACAGCACAGACATTTTGATGCAATAATTCAAAGCAAGAGGTGTCAGTTATCAGACACTATTAAATAAACAAAATATTGCAAGAGTGCTAATGTTTTAAGCATGTTTTTATTTTAAGTTAAAAAAAAACCTTTGTGTTTGTGTCCTCTATAAAGTTTATATCTCTGCTACCTGACATTACATTTTATGACACACATGGCCGGGCCCAACAAGGTCTCATTTATGCCAGATACAGCCCTCATAACAAATGAGTTTGACACCCCTGTGCTAGAGTACTGCAGATGCATAAACTGCATAAGAATGAGGGATGCTGAACCATGTTAAATCCTCCCCCAAAACTCTCTGATGGACACAATTTAGGTAACCTGCTTTTTCTTTCTTCAGTCAGTGTGTGTGTGTAAACCAGGAATGACTGCTTTAAATGCTGCACTGGGCTGCACATCTACCGATCAATGTCGGCAGTACCACTGTGATAGGAATGCGAGGTGTGAAGTAGGTCCTGATGAGACTATCAGGTAAGCTGCTGAGGCAACATGAATCAAATCTTTTCTATAGTGAAACTGCTAGCTCATAATACTGGAATACAAAGTAAATTGGACTCTGCATTTGGAAAGTGGGGTTCCTCACCACTGCTACCTATGGTACAGACCGAGAATTTGTACCACAACTGTACCAGTTTTATAGTATATTATGCATTGTCTTATCCATCCTTTAAGGCATCTAGGGAGTGGCTCAGCCTCCTAAAAGCCTATGAGATAGGCTGAAAGAAAGTGGCTTGGCCACCCAGTAATATCCATAGCAGGTACTAGAACTCAGGTCTCCTGTCTGTCTAGGCATCGTACTTGTTGTGTACTAATGGCGAATGCGCACACGGTCGCCTTTCCATGTGACCATGCGAACGAGTCTAACTTTGCATCCCTAGACAATAGAAGAAGAGGATCCTAGAACCAGCCTATCGGCTCACCCGGATCCTCAAGGGAACCTATGGTTGCAGTTACTTTGGATATAATCCTATCACGAGTGTGGGTGTGAGTGTTGGGTGTGGTTTGTGTGTGTATTTGAAGTGGCCTCGGGCCAGCTACTGTATCTCAAGTTGTCCTAACTCTTAAGTAAAGTATGAGCTGAAATCACTACACTATGCTTTGGTCTCAGTAATTTATAGTACTGTACATCTGCAATGTATTGTACTAGTAAGGTTTTAATAAACTGTATTGCTGTACTGGAATGCCAAAAAATTAGGGAGTTAGCTTTGAATCAAGATGTTTACAAAACCAATTATGACAGACCCCTAACGCTTCCCGACTCCCAAAACTATTTTTAGTTCTCCATAGTGACTGAGCTGCTCTTCAGTAGCACATATTTTTTCTTTATTTTATAAGCTTTAACTATCCCACCCTGTCATAGATATTAGTTTAGGTATATGACCCAGCACAGAAACTAGAGGGAATATAGGAGTTGTCTTGTTTTAAAATACCCTCATAAAATGGCATGTGAGGCAAAATTAACTTTCAAAAAGAGAGGAAAGATTTTATTAAATCGGCAAGGAATACATCCATCCATCCATCCATCCATGCGTGTGTGTGTGTATATATATATATGTATGTATGTATATGAAATCAAGGTTTATAGATGCTGAAGGTAAACTTTCTATTATATACAGATTTGAATTCTTAGAATACACAAGAGAGTGTTGTGGCTTAATTTCAGAGTTTCAAGATCTTTGCAATGAGGGGTGTTTTGCTTATTATATATTTCAGCTGTTACACAGAATCTTAAATATACTTTCTTAGAGAATAGCATTGACTGTGTTGATGAAAACTACCTCAACTGCAGAATCTCTGCTGATGAATCCCAGTATGATCCATCCTAACCAACAGCTTCCCACACCCAAGGACTCTCTGTTGTGGCTTCCGTCTGGTATAATGGTCTGCCTGATGAGATCAGGAAGGCTCCCATAATTTTATCATCCACAGAATATGTAAAATAGAATTGTTCATGAGGGTTCTTTTAAAAGTAAATAGGGCTGTAGTACTTTTTAGGCAATTTTATTGCATTGCTTATTATTTTAGGCAATGTTATTGCATTGCTCATTATATTGTTTCAAATTTCAGGGTAGACTATAAATGAAGCTAATAAATCAGTCAATACTGTAAAATGTTAACATCCCCTGTATAGTTGTGGGGTGAAGGCAGCAGCTCCACCCCAGCCTCAGAAGCCTCTCCAAAAGCCAGCAGGGAAACTGGGTCTTTCAAATATCTACCAGTCACTCAGTTGGGCAGCGGGGGAGCAGGGAGTAGGGCAGGGACATACTGAGGCAACTCGCTCCTTCAAGACCTAACCTGAGGTCCACAGAGGTTAGACTGTGGTCAGATCACCATTGGATGGGATTGTCAACGGGGGGGGGGGTGGAGATCTCCGGCTATTACAACTGAACTCGAGACAATAGAGGTAAGTTCCCGTGGAGAAAATGTCTGCTCTGGAGGGGAGACTGTATGACATTCTAACTTGCTGAGGTCCCCCACCAAGCCCGTCACCCCCAGGCTCGACCCACAAAATCTCCAGGTATTTCTCAACCCAGAGCTGGCAATGCTGCCACTGGAGCAGCCTGGTCTTTTAACTTTTGACCCACCAGGCAACTGATTAATGGGGTGGGAATGGTGGAGGCAGTGAGGGGTGGCATCTTTCTTGGCCCAGATGAGGCCAAACCTAAGGGAGGGCCTTCTTGGTTGTGTTTGGAGGTAGCCCATGGCCCTTTGTAGGAGCCCCTTCTCCTATGTGGGGCAGTGGCCAGGGCAAAGCCTGTGCAGGCTGCAAGGTTGCCTTCAAAAGTGAGAGGGAGCAAGCCTATGGGGACATGCTGGACCTGTTGGAGAAGCAACGCCCTGCTTAGAGTCTAGTTACTGTAAATACTGCTGAAAGAGTGGTTTAGTCCACTTGAACTTTAGGGGGAGCTGTGGAGCATTCCCTAGTGTTTAGGGTTTATTGAATGTTTTCTCTTTCTCTGCTGTGTAGTAGTAGTGGTTTGTGTTAGTGCTTGTGCTCTGGAGGCCTCTCTGTTGCATTAGTGGCCTGCAGTCAGTTATTGCCTTTTTCTAAAATCCTGTTGCAGTAAATTCATTGAAAGCAAACTCCAAAGTGTGGATTGGATTATTTCCTGAACTCTGCCAACAGGACCTTCTCTATTGAGCTGTGTAGGAGGAAGCCCAGGGAGAGAGGGAGAGGACCAGGGTGCTTGTCTCATCCCTCCCCCCCTCTCACTTCTGAGGTTGGTGGCGCCAAGTGGACCATGATGGTAGAATGAGTGTGGGTGGGGCTGACGCCCACCCCTCCCACGTATTTATAATACATAATGTACTAAGAGGTATAAATTCAGGCTGATTTCGCACTAGAGCTGCCTCGCTGTTGCACCGCCATTTGCCCCGGTTCTATTGGTCAATTTCACACCCGAAGCTGCGCGGCTGATTTTGACCCGCGGCTTCACCCGATTTCCCCCACAGTTTGGTGATCCTGTTTTTTGAGGATCAACTAAACTGCGGAGGAAATTGGGCGAAGCCACGGGTCAAAATCAGCCGCACGGCTTCGGGTGTGAAATTGACCAATAGAACCGGGGCAAATGGTGACGCAACAGCAAGGCAGCTGTAGTGCGCAATCAGCCTCAGTTAACTCAGTTTTCCGTTATCCACCTTATGCCATATCCTGTGTATACTTGGCACTCTCAGAGATGAAAGTTGCTATCAGATCTTTGTGACTTGGTTGCTGTCACAGTTGGCAAGTAAAACCAATAATTTTCAGAATTTTTCTTCTTATTGGTTAGCTGTGTCTGCAAAGAAGGTGAGATTGGAGATGGCAGGAGCTGCTACAAAACACTCATTCATGAGATTTCTGAGCGGAATATACGGGGAAGAACGCTCGGCAGACTAAACACCGCAAAGTCAATGTTTGGTAACTCCCAATAGAATTTATTTGATTAAGCATCTGGAACGAAGAGTAGTATTGCAAGAGAGTAATTAAAATTTCAACTTGCCCCAGGTTTGTTTCACCAGTTTTGTAATGTGAGTAATAAAAGGCCTTAGAACTGATGTGAAAGTGATTGTCAGGAAGCTGGCAAATCTCTGTCAGAGTTGCCTGTGTTCACTCCCTGCATGGCAGCTGTATGGACTATTAAATGTAATCAGAGGTCATTTCGGGGGGGATCGCGGGAGATCGCAGTTCCCCCAGGTGAGGTGCAAGGGGGCGGGGTACATGACGAAGCCCCACCCCCTGCTTCCGGCCGCCCCACTTCCGGCCCTCATTCAGCCAGGAGGAGGCAGGAGAAGAGGGAGGGTAAGTTGCTTCCTCACTGCCTCTCCCCACCCCTGCCTGCCTGGGGCCAGGGAGGGCCTTGGCGGGGCTTCCTTGCACTCCCTCCGGCCTTGCAGGTCCACCACCAGGCCCCTCATGGGGCTCGGCAGTGGAGCTGCAAGGCCGGCGGCGGCCGGGACCATTGGGGGCGGGGTGTGTGGCCTTATGACACACTTCCGGTGATGTCAGGGGGTGTGGCATATGCTAATGAGTTATGCCAATTAGTTCCCCTAGCTCTTTTCCTACTAAATGACCCCTGAATGTAATTGTCCATTACGTTCCCCCCTTCCCACTGCTTGTCAGTTTGCTGCAAACTTGGCTGCTTTAGGAAAGGGAAAAGGCAGGGCTTTTTTTGTGTGATGGTACTTACCAGTACGGGGTACTGGCACTTTTTTGTGAGGAGGGTTTCACAAGTCCCAGTCACTGAGAACCAGCTGGCGCCATTCAGCCAGAGAAAGAGAGAGTGGACACTGGGATGGCCTAGTGGGAATCTACAGGAGGCTATACAAAGGGAAATTGGTGGAAACTGGCACAACCGTATATGTGAGCTCCGACACATTTTTTAACAATAGCAAGCACTGGGAAAGGACATGTGGGTAAAACCCCCTCAAAAAAAAAATCTTGCTGTTTAACCATTTCTGGTGACATAGTGTATAGAATAAACTTTTTTTTTCTTTAAAAAGGCATTCTTTTGCCCCAAGCAAGATATATCCATCTCCTTTTTTTGTCCATTTGGCTACCAGCTGTATCCAAGCCAAGAGGAGACGCCTGTCACTTCCCGTGCTGCTGATTTCTGGGACTGAGCTGAACCCCTGTGGTTCATCACTGCCCTTCTCATTGTGCCACACCAAGCAATCTGTTGGGTTACTTGACCTGGAGAAACAGCCCTAGGAAAGTAATAGATCCATGACCATCCCTGGGCAAATGGTAGGAGTATCTAGAGGGGCGGGGGAAGGATCACAAGCACTGTCTACATTCCCAGCATTCATGTGGTCTGTTGAATTCTGGGTCTGTATTGGGCCTTCAGACATACAGCTTTCCCAGCAGGAATGACAACCAGTGTTCCCTCTAAGCTGAGTTAGTGTGAGCTAGCTCATAGTTTTTTAGCCTCCGGCTCACACATTTTTGTCTTCGCTCAGGAAGAAGGGCTCCAGAACAAACCAATTTATGCATTAGCCAAATCGCTCACTCACAACTTTAATGCCAACAGCTCACAAAGTAGAATTTTTGCTCACAAGACTCCACAGCTTAGAGGGAACATTGATGACAACCCAGCTGTGCACGTGTAGGCTGTTATGCAGACATTCAGCCTAACGTGTCGGCTGGGAAGTGGGACAGCACATCTGATCAGACGCCACCCCTGCACATATGTATTGTGATATCTTCTGTACAGGACCTGCTTTGAAATATCTTTTGTTTGTCTTTTAATAGATATGGGTTGTTCATTATTGCTGGGAAAATATGGGCCTTTCACAGTCCTTGTGCCATCCTCTGGTCATATTCGGGAGAGTTCTCAGCACTTCGAGGTAAATGCCCGTGCCTCTTTCCAGACAAGAATGTCATGGCCCTGATCCTCCTGACATTTGATTTGCATTTTGGAAGGTGTTGCGTCCTCCCTTGGTCCTCGGTGTAGCGCCCCCTGTAGCCGTGTTCTCGGGGTCTTGGTCGGGCTCTGGCGGGACGGGCGGCCCTGGAAGCGGTCAGCTCCAAAAAGGGAGAGGGAGTGAGGGGCCTCAGACAGACAGAGGACAGGGTTAAGTGCACCCGGAGCGTCCCTCTGCCAGCATGCTGTGAATGTCTTTTCCACTCTCTTTCCAATCTTGCGTTTCTCTCTCTCTGCATCTCCCTCTGTTTCACAGCGTACTCCTCCTCCCCGGCCCCTTCTCCACCCTGCCTTTTATTTCCCCACCTCGCTCCCGGGACCGCCCATCCGCCCTCCGGCTTGGGCCACGCCCCCTTTATCTACTGGGACACCGGTGGGGCGTCTCCGGGGTGGATATTGGTACGCCGCCACTGCTCTGCAGCTGCTCCCGCCATTCTGTGTCCGTTCTCGGTTCGTCGGCCCCGTTGCCATCATCTCGTTCTTTTTCCCGGGGGCTGCTCCGCGGACCCCGGTCTTGCCCCCTGGCTCGGCCGGTGTGGCGTACTGCAGGTGAGGTCACCGCTCCCATCTCCCTTGCCGGATCGTCGTGCTCTCCCCTTCCTGGTAAGGCATATGGTGAGGGTCTTGTGGGGTTCGTTGGGGGCCCCACGGCCTGCAACGTCTGGAGTGGGACAGAAGTGGGGGGGGAGGCCACCAGTGATTGTTCCTCAGGAGCGCTGATGTCTCTGGTCTCTTCACTGGTTCCCTATATTGTGAGGGTTGTTATAAACAATTAAATGGGACTTTGCACTACATATGCATATGAAAGTCACAAATACCCTTCCTTAAAAATAACTTAAATGTTTACTGTCTGATATTGCTAGGTTTATTGTGAATTGTAAGACATAAAGCATAGCATATACTCTTAAAATGCCTCAATAATATTTCAAGGCAGGTTGCTATTTATTCTTCAAAGAATGAGGCAGATCTTTTGGCACACTGTAAGGAATTCTCTATTATAGCCTTCAAATGGCACCTGAAGAAAAGCAATATTTTGAAAGCAAAATAATGTTTGTAAGACACAAAAGGGCAGTTCCTTTGAGACATCAAAATGAAATATACAAAGATTTTACAGTACTGTAATACTCATTGCGTTGCATGAATAATGCATTTAAATAATCAATGGGTATTTAAATTATGCCTCACTGAACAATTTGTAAAATTTACAATATTATATATTTCTATAGGCTGCTGTTAAAGAGAGTACAAAGGGGAAATATTGCAATAAATCAACAAGCATTTACATGAGTTTTGGCAGGAAGGCACTGAGTACTAGGCAGGGTGCTCCCAATCTTCTAAAAAGCTCAGGCAATCTTCTCCATGGCCAGCCTGGGGCAGCCCATTGCCCAGTGTGTGACTGTATGCTGTCATAAAAAGCCTTCTTCTGATGGGAGAGGCATCAAATGGAAACTTTTGATCCAATCGAATGCCTTGTTGATGTGTTATCTAGCAGGATATACTATTTGTATTTTGGAATTGCAAATACTTGTTATAAAAGATACTGTGAATCCATGTGAACACTTTTGCTTTTTGGTGTTTAATTCATCTCCACCAAGGCTACAGCTGCAAGCAGTTTATGCAGAATGCACGTAATTCCTGGACAGCATTTGCTAGAGGATATGGTCAAAACAAAGATCCTGTGGACGTTGTCTGGACATCAAGTGATCTTCAGTGATCAGGTAAAATAACATGATTTTTATTTTAGATATTAGATTGAATTTCTGGCAATGGGGCTATAGGTTCGTTTTTATACTGTTGTCTCTTGTTCTTTTTCCAGTGTATTGTTTTCAGGATCATAAACATGAGATGCTCACTGTTTCCTCAAAGTGCAGCCTGATATTTTGTTTCACTTTTCTGCTTCTTCTTGAGGATTCAGCCCAAAGCTTTTCACTGTTCCCTTTGCTTTTTGTTTATGTACAATATTACAATATCTTGCAATACATATTAATAATAAACATGTAATCTTTCCTTGAAAATCACCTATTCCATCCTGTTGCTCTTCTGTCATGTTGCTGTCTTTTTCTGTGTTGATTTAGACAGAGCTATATGCTAAGGTAGATCATCTGAACCAAGGGTGGCCCGAACAAGCAAGTGTACAGCCATTTCAAATCGAGTTAATTGCCTTTGGGTCAGTGCTATTGGGAAGCTGTTTGTTTTCTGTTTCCCCACAGCATTACAGTACATTTGTGTACCTCCTGAGGTTTCTCCAGTTTTTCTCTGATCTTTCTCAAACCTAGGGTCGCCAGTCCCCAGGTCCTGGAGGAGGTTCCCCTGGTTTTCGGGGCTTCTGCCCAATGCCAGCCAGCTGGCTGGAGGGGGAAACCCCAGCCCCAAACAGCAACATTACTGTGCAACGTCCCCGACATGATGTCACCCAGGAGTGATATAATCATGTCACGGGCATTGTGCGGTGACGCTCTGGTTTGAGGGCAAAACTCTATGGTTTGAAGCCAGTTTTACCATGGAGTTTTGTCCAAAAACCAGAGCACAACACAACCAACGCGATGACGTCACTTCTGGGTGACATAATTGTGTCGGGGACATCCCAGAAATCCCCCCACTGACGTGATGAGAGGACCTGGCAACCCTACTCAAACCTTCTTTGATTCAAAGTTTTGGGAAAGATTGCAGTAAAAGCCTGGATGGTTGCTGTGTGTATAAGCCATTTCCTCCCCCTGCCATGGGGGGGGGGCCCTGCTTTTAATTTTTTAAAAAAAGTGGTAATTGAGTATCATGATGTTGATATAATGGCATACCAATACCTTCTCTGAATTCCCAGCCTTTGTTTTTTAATCAAGCGTAAGTGTTTAGCCCCTTTTATTATAGAGATATAAGGAGAAAGGTGTATCTCTGCAATGGCAGAGACTAAGAGACTTCCTTTTAAAAAAATGAAAGCTGAGAATTTAGAGAACCTGGTATAACACTTTATCAGTATATATAACTATCTTCAGTTGTTGATTTTTTTAAAAAATGGGGAAAGCCCTAGTGGTCCAAGGGAAAGAAGATGGCAGTTGCTGGGGGACTGAGTGGGGGAGCTGTGGGGAAACCTGTGGGGAAACCTGTCACTTGGAAGCCCTGTGCTGTATCAGCAGCCAAACCAGCGCCAGCAACAGGGGTTACCACACAAGCCCACCCCTGTGTGGAGACTACCACATGCTGTCCACTGAGCCAGTCCATACGTTCACGCACCAACCATCAAATGCAGAGAAATGGGTACTTACATCACAAATGTATATATAGGTAGATTTAAGGAATCTTGTTATTCTCTCAGTCCATTCCTTTAGCAGATTTCCCCAACACCCTTACATCTATGCATTGTACTATGATTTCCCTTTTGCTTAGTCCCAAAACAGAGCTTAGGGCTGATTTCGCACTAGAGCTACCTCGATGTTGCGCCATCATTTGCCCCGATACTATTGGTCAATTTCACACCCAAAGCTGCGGGGCTGCATTTTGATTCGTGGCTTCGCCCGATTTCCCCCGCAGTTTCGTGATCCTGTTTTTTGAGGATCAAGAAACTGCGGAGGAAATCGGGCAAAGCCACGGGTCAAATGCAGCCCCGTGGCTTTGGGTGTGAAATTGACCAATAGTAGCGGGGCAAACGGCGCAACATTGAGGCAGCTCTAGTGTGAAATCAGCCTTTGAACTTTAAAAAAAGTCTAAATTATAAATCTTCCTCAACAAATGTAAAGAAATAGCTGCCAACACCAACTGTTGAAACTTTACACAGATAAAAAAGTAAGATGTCCGATCAACCCCACACCCCCAAAAATCACCTAGGTTCTTTGGGACCCTTGCTCTGCTGTTAATCATGTGTTCTGTGTCCATGCTGACACCACCATTTTGGATTAAGCGTTGAAAACAACGTAAGTGACAGCACCATCATAATTTTTGAAAATACCTTTTATTTTTCTTGCAAAATTAAACTTGCTCTTCTAAAGCCCGACTACAGATCTCTGTTTTATGGATTAAAGAATATTCTCTGTATATAGCAATTATGTAGTGGATTTTTGCAGTTAGGGGCCAGCCTCCAGGGAATCCCCTGGAATTACAGTTTACCACCAGACTACAAAGATGAGTTCCCCAGCAGAAAATGGATGCTTTGGAGGCTAGACTTTATGGCATTGTACCCCTCTGAAGTTTCTGTCCTCCCCAGGCTCCATCCCCAAATCTCCGGGAGTTTTCCAAGCTTGATCTGGCAACCCTACTATCCTGTCCCCCACTGGTGGCCAGAGGGACCTGACAACACTAGTATAGATTTCAATTGATTCTACAGAAAATTCTGGGACCTGGAATACTGTGAGGGGTCCAGAGATTTCTAAAAGAATTCTTAGCATTTCAAACTACAATGGGGTGTGTGTGTGTGGAATGGAGCGTAAAGAGTTAATAGTAAATATAGCTTTTGGTTTTCATTACTAGATTTCATACTACTTTTGTCCTCTTTGTATTCTGTACCTCTGCCACTTCACGTAACTGACTATAGGACCTCGGTATTTCCTCTTGGGATTTCCTGGAATTGACTTTATGCTCAGGACTTTGATATATGCTGGGTATTCTAGAGCAGGGCCGGCTCGCTCACTAGGCGCTCGTTTAGAGCGCGCCGACCCTTAGGGGCGCCAAACTGGCACCCGCCCCCCCCCAAAGAGCCCCTCACAAGAGCTGGAGGAGCCAAAACGACCTCACGCTTATGATGTTCGAGCGGCAACGCAGCTCTATGCGAGAGGTGGAATTTGCCCATAGGAGATCAAGACCGCCACCCCAGAGCCCAGGGAGCGAGGGGGGAACTTTTGTGCCCTCCAGCGGCGGCGGCCATAAGTTTTTATAGAGCCCCTCACTAGAGCTGCTGGAGCAGCTAGTGCTAGTGCTGATGTTCCAGCAGCAACGCAAGAGGTGGAATTTGCACATAGGAGGTCAAAGCTGCCACCCCGGGGCCCAGAGAGCTGGGGGAACCTTTCACACCCTCCGCGCGCGGCTATAACTTTTTAAAGAGCCCCTCATGAGCACTGGAGGAGCCAAAACGAGGGTCGAGGTCCACTCGGGGCCTCCTCAGCATCACAGGAGGCAGGGAGAGAGAGGGGGTGGGGTCTCGAGTGCCCGCCCTCCCGGCCTGGTCGGCGTCCAGCGGGCTCCCTCCCCTGCCCTTTCGAAGGCCGCGGCGCTCTCCCCTCCCTCTCGCCAATGTCTGACGACCTCTTGGCAATGTCCCCCACAGGTCGCCCACCAGCCACCCAGGGCTCTCCCTCCTTTCCGCCGCTTGTTGAGTTACTCCTACAGTTGGAGAAAGCCCCAGGAAAGGAAAGTGCAGGACACGCTGCTGAAGTACCCGGACAGGAGACAGCCACCCATCCAAAGAGCGCCGCCCCCGCCGTCACGACCACTGCCGCCATCACCGCCAGTGTTCCCTGTAAGCTGAACTAGCTCACAGCTTTTTAGCCTCCGGCACACACCTTTTTGTCTAGGCTCAGGAAGGAGGGCTCCAGAGCAAACTAACTTATGCAGCAGCCAAACTGCTCGCTCAGAACTTTAATGCCAGCAGCTCACAAAGTAGAATTTTTGCTCCATGGCAAAATTTAGAGTGAGTATTGCAAGCATCCCCCTCCCCTCCCCTCCCCTCCCCTCCCTCCACGTCTTTCCAAGAAAGTCTCAGCTCCGTTCTGGGGCTAACCGGGTTGTCCTACCATCCGGATAATTGGAAATGGAGGTAATGATTGAAAGCCCGACCTGCCGGCTTTTATTCTTTTAAAAAACTGCCCACATCCCCACGCTGCGCTGCAACCAAGCCTGAAGCGAGGCGGCCAGATAGGCAGCCCCAACGGGTCCAATCGGAGCTTCGGCTTTCTCCAGCCATCCAATCCTTTGCCTCAGGAGGCGGCGACGCCAGTGAGGTTCGGCTGTGAACGGCGCTCATCTCTACACCAACCTGCAAACATCCATCTGGGGAGCGGACTCAGTGGAGGTTTTGGGAAAGGGAGTTGTATGTAGGGGAGAAAATGCCCTTCCGCCGCCTGTTAAGCACACATGCACCGGGCTTCCGGTCGGGGGAAAATGGCAATTTGACGCACCTTGTAAAAGCGCAGGGTGGACGGCGGTTCTTTCTGACAGTTTGGGCTAGTTCTGGCCCAACGCAGCATCCCCCCAGGCAGGGGGATTGACTAGCAAGCATCGAGACCCAAGTGAGAGTTGAGATTGGTATGATTAAGTCTCGGAGCCCTTGGTTCAGATGCAATCCCCCCTGAAGCTATTAAAGCGTGCCCAGAATGGTGGGCTCCCTTTTTGGCAGCTCTTTTTACCACTATAGATAGGTCAGGAGTAATGCCTGAAGCGTGGTTGAATGCTGTAGTAGTGCCAATTTTTAAAAAAGGTAACTTTGAGTTGCCTAGTAACTATAGGCCGATTAGTCTTCTTTCAAAGTTGGGAAAACTATACGCAAGACATCTTGCGATTAAGCTCAATGCCTGGGTCATTGAACAGCGAATATTGGGATGTGAACAAGCTGGTTTTTGTCAGGGGAAGTCCACCTTAGACCATTGTATAGTCTTAAGCCACTTAGTGAACAAATACCGTAAAGGGAAGGGAAGCAGGCTTTTTGCTACCTTCCTTGATCTGAAGGGTGCCTTTGACTCTGTGTCCAGAGAGCTCCTATGGAAGAAACTATTGAAGGCAGGGATGGATCTAAGACTGTTACATTTGATTAGGAATCTCTACACCGGTACAACTTGCCAAATCAGAGGTTCTAGAGAAGGTATCTTAACCCCAAAAATTATAAGTAATATTGGGGTTAAACAGGGTTGTATCTTAGCTCCGCTTCTTTTCAATTTGTTTCTTAATGATTTGTCTGTTTGTTTGGAAGACTCTCTGGGCTATAGTCACTGTCCAGTTCTGGGTGGACGAACTGTCCCCTTGCTTTTATATGCTGATGATGCGGTCATTCTTTCCCGCTCCGAAGTAGGGATGAAAAAATTGTTAGTAAGCTTCCTGGATTATTGTGCTCATAATGGACTCTCAGTGAATTTTGGAAAATCTAAAGTTATGGCCTTTGGGGGACCCTGGGAGCTTTAAATACCTGGGAGTGAATTTTCATCACAATTTTAGTTGGGCAACACACAGAACAGAGGCAATTAAAATGGCAAATTGCTGTGTGCTTGCACTTACACGGTTTTATTATACTAAGGGCAATCAGTACTTGCCAGCAGCTATTAAAGTGTTTGTACACCAAACTATTGCTAAGCTCCTCTATGGTATCCCTATTTGGATTACAGCCTTTAACAAGGCAGTTGAACAACTGCAATCCAAATTTCTGAGGAAAATTCTGGTGTTGCCTTTGTGCATCTCCTACGCTGCCATTTGTTTGGAGCTTAATCAGAGAAGGCTGGAGACAAAGGCGTGGATCATCACCTTTAGATTCTGGCTGCGTTTGCATTTTAGATGCACTCATAATAGCCTCGTTGCCTATATGTTGAAAGATTCACAT